GTGTGTGTGTGTCAGGCTGTCGGCTGGCCGGTGCTTCCTCCTCCTTAACTGTGAACCATCCAAACATTTAAGCACTCGACACCTGATCAAGTGGACACTCAGCTTCAAGTGTCCTCTGGCCGCGTCTGTGATTAAACCGCATAACCACACCACCGATGTCCCCTGTCCACATTCTTAAACCCTGCAGGACTCGCTGTGAGCAATGCGGCAGATCGTGCGCTGACACGCTCTGGGCGGCGTTGCTGGGTTACAGTGAGCTGAGAGGCCGCTGAGGGCCTGACGGGAGTCAGGTGGATCTGTGAGCTTCACGAACACTCAGCTTTCAGAATCTGACCATGAGAACACACTGAGCCACCGGGAGCTGCTGGCTGGAGTCCCATGGTAGATGACATGTTAAGTGTGTTAAGCTCACACTCAAATTTCTCACACAGAAAAATTCTGTCTCCCTCTTTTCCTATTTGGTTTCAACTGATGGGGCTGTTGTTAAGGATCATCTCACCTGGTGCATTTTAACTATCCGCCTGCAGAGGGGTTTTTGGTTCCTTTACCTTTTTTGTGGAAGTTTATTGTGAGCTGTGGATTGTTTACTGCAAACTGGTCACTGTGGTTTAATTGGAGCACAAAACATTTGTATGTGCAGAAAAAGTGAAAATAAGTTTAAAACAATCTGCTCATTTTAGAAAATAAGGATTGTTTTGGCCCTGTTTATGCTCCAGCTGTAATTACACAGATGCTTCACTAGAGATGAGAGAGAAAAAAAGTTCACTGAAAACAAAGTGGAGGTAATGCCTGATTTGGTGTCTCAAATGTGCACATTTTAAATGATTAGTTTACTTTATGATAGAAAAAGGGCCTCTTAACAACATACATGGTAGTGACAAGTAACTGTGAGTGTGTGTGTGTGCGTGTTGTGTGTGTGTGTGTGAGAGTCTACCTGTAGATAGCAGTGGCCGGCTGGTTCCCAGGGTCATACGTGACCCTGACATGACCCTGATGGAGCTCCACAGCAATCGGCTCGTTGTCTCCGTTATAGAGCAAGATGCCGTTGTCCTCTGCTGTTGACACCTGAAAAACACACACACACACACAACACACACACACATACATACACACCAATCAGAGTATGTGTGTGCATGGGTCTGCTACTGCTGATACTTGATGTCTGTGACCTACAGGACGGTGTGTCTGGATGCGGGCTCGGGTTCTCACCTGCAGTGTGATGTTGGTTTGAGGCCAGTTCTTGACGTCTTGGAGCTGAACGTAAGAATCTCTGTCGACAAAGTTGACGCTGACCAGCTTCTCGCAGCTCTGACCCTCAAAGCCCGGCAGACACTGACACACCGCAGTCCCCGTCTGCTCCACACAGGGGGCGCCGTTTTGACACTGAGCCAGGTGGCAGGGTGACAGGGAAGGAAGGGCCACCTCACAAAACTCACCACTGAGGGGAAAAAGAAGATGTCCGAGAGGGCACCAGAGAACACTCAGTCAGTCCAATTACCTATAAATAAGAGATGCACTGATCCGAATACCAGACCTCACCACAGTTTTCTCTTCTTTAGATTGTTTTAAGGCTGCATACATCACTGGGTGGATCTCATTGGGGTCTTGAAGCATGGAAACGTACGCACATCAACATCCTTTTTCTTGCTTGTGTAAATTTTGATCATATACTTCTAAAGGTTTATAAAAATGCTTATTACAAACAAGAATCTCTCATTAAAGGTATACTTTGGTAGGTGTGTATGTATTTGGGTCTAAGTGACTAATGGGAACAACAGTTTTTTAAATTGGTCTAGTACTGAGCAAGAGCGTTGCAGATGGCTGAAACGTAATACTTCGGGGGAATGTACGGCCACTAAAAGTACTACTGACAACGTTATGGGAAGACCTTTTGGTTTTATCAGAAACAGCCGTTATAAAGTATCAACTCATTCAAAGCCACCAGACTCCGTTGAGAAAAAGAGTAATTTTAGCTGGCAGAAAACGGGAGTGTCAGTTTCAGTTTTTCTCTTTCTGATAAATGAGTCAGAATCCACACTAACCCTTTAGTTCTGCCGGCTGCAGCGCTCTCCCTCTATAATTGTCTCCATTAGTCTCTTAGACACAAAAGCATGAGAAAAGCATGGTCCAGGTTGAAAAATAGCAAAGTTTCCCTTTAATGTGGGTCAGGTATCAAGTCAAAATAAACAATGTTGATTTTGTAGTGTTATTTGAAAGATTTATGTTAGTTTAGATGATTTGTGCAAAACATAAACGAGAAGTAAAATCTTTCTGTAGCCTTAACACAATAAAGGAAACCGTGTTTTTAATTTCCAGTGCTCCCTGAGTACAGACAGCCTTCTGTTTCCGCTGTACAGTAACTACAGTGAACTATGAGTTCCCAGAGTTCCCAGTGTTCCCAGTACCTGTATCCCTGTGGACAGACGCAGCTGTAGCCGTCCAGATGGTCGACGCACTGAGCTCCGTTCTGACAGCGATGGTCCACACATTCATTATAATCTATACCGCAGTCTGGCCCCAGCCAGCCTGGAATACACACACACCTGGAACACACACACACACACACACACATATATATATACTACATGACACATGGTGTAGGATTTGGGGGAGCCAACCCAGACCTCAGCAAAATGTACCTTTGTATATGTTTGTTTTTGTGTGTCTGTATTTTTAATCTCTTCTGGGATCCGAAACTTTGCTGAGCCCGGCAGTGATAAAGTGTGTGTGTGTGTGTGTGTGTGTGTGGTCACCTGGGGCCGGTAGGAGTGCTGATGCAGGTGGACTGATGCTGACAGGGGTTTCTACCTGGAGAACACAAACCCTCCTCTTCCTCACAAAACAGACCTGAGAGTGAGAGAAAGAAAGAGGGATCATGGAACAGTTTGAACAGACTTTCAGACCAGATCATCATTTCTCCTCCAAACACGGTTACAATGGATCAACTGTGTTGTTTTCTTAATATATATATATATATTAATACTTTATCATTATTGTAACAATGGAAGTAAAGAGAGACAGTCACAAGCTGATGGCGGTGTCATACCTATGTAGTTTGGAGGACACAGGCAGGTGTAGTTGCCCACTCCGTCCACACAGGTGGCGCCGTTCTCACACCCATGGTCCTGACAGTCGTCCACGTTCACCTCGCAGAAGGTACCGTGGAAACCGAATGCACAGGCGCAGCTAAACAAATACAAACAAAGTAATAAATAAACTGGAGTTTTCGCATCGCAACTAAAAAAAGATAAATTAAAGGGGTAAACATGTAACACGCCATTCATTGCACTGCATTATGCAAATATATTAGCTTCATGTTATCAAACACAACAAAAACCTTTGGTGTCTCGTCTGACGGCAGTTTAAGCCCACAGCAGCTTCCTCTGACAGTGATGCTGTCTTTCCTCAAATTCAACATTCTCTCTATTAAAAACCTTTTAGAAACCTGGAAACTGTGAAAACTCATTTATTTATTTAATCTCTATGTATTCTTTTATTAGCATATCAACAACCCTACAGTTACTCTGCAGTAATAGTACTGTTAGCATTAGTATAACATGTTGGCGTTCTAAATATTAGCATGCTTTGTTAGCATTTATCTCGACGTACAACTGAAAGTGACATGACTTCTCATAAGTGGTAATTTGACCTGTTGGTGGCGCTAGATGAAAAGTCAGAGGACCACCAAAGTCATTAAGAGTCAACCTCTAGGGATTACGTATATATGTACCAAATGTCATCGCAATCCAATCAAAAGTTACTGTAATATTTCAGACAGCATTGCTATTCCTACAGAAACTCATGCCAGTGTGGATAAAATGGTCAGGGTTGGTTTAAGGTTTGATGCTAACTGCACAAAGAGAGCTGGACTCACAAAATCACACGAGAATCTGCTTGTGTCCAAACCACAGTTATTACGGAGCAGTCAGTGTCCTGTGAGGAGCTACAGGCGTGGTTTAATGCTACTAACAATGACGGCTGCTAAAGAGAAGAGCATGAAGTTTGCCTGCGATGGACGGTGACAGACAGATGGACTGTCCAATCACCGGTTAACTATTTTCTCAAAGTGTCTGCTCTTTTCCAAACAGTTTCCAGCGAGGACTTGCAACAAAGCATCTGGAGCAGTCAGGTTAGCTGAATGCTGGGATGTCAGATACAGCAGCTACATACACTTTTAGACCTGTTACCTGAACCCTCTGGTCTGTTCGTCACTGAGGCAGACTCCTCCATTGGTGCAGGGATTACTGACACAGGCATCAACTGGAGTCTCACAGTGTTTACCCTGAAATATCACACACACACACACACAAACAGTAAATATAGAGCATATTTTTGACAGGCATACAACATTAGATCAGGTCAACTAAGTAATTTGGTGGGATTATCAGAGACAGATGTGGGCTCAAAATAATCACTCACAACACGCAAACATAAAAAATTGGATCATTGGTTTCAAACATTCAGCTCTGGGTCGGTAAATGGATTGCTGTGTGTCTGCAGGGGGGAAACATTTTGATTGGATGTGACAAGGTGCCAACAAAAAAAGAGACAAACTCACGAACTAGATCACGCAAGCCTCTATGCACACGTTCAACATGAACACACACACACACACACAGTTGCATACCGTGAAGCCAGACTTGCAGGTACACGTGTACAGTTGCGTGTGGTCGACTTGACAGACGCCCTGGTTCTGGCAGGGAGAGGCCACACACGGGCTGCATTTGGCCTGAACAGACGCCTCTACCGGACCTGACAACAGCACACACACACACAGTTAGAAAGGTCATTACTGAGACGTTCGTATGTTCACTGTCAACGAGAAACATCACCCACAAGATTACAAGCCTCTAAATGTATTTTCACTTTGTTTCTGCAGCAGCTGTTCTGGGGTCAGCAGATGAAGTAATGGGCATTTTTCTCTTAACTTTATGAAACTACACTTGTTTTGACATGTCCAGAACCCAGGCCACTGCCACGCTCCACGCTTAGAGGTAAGATCACTGACTGTGTGTCAAAGCCACATTTAATGAAAGACGACATCGTTTTTAATCCCATTGAGTCAAAGACAGGAACCGCGCGGAGCTCTGCGGCGAGGAGAGAAAGCACCATGCTGTTTGCAAAATGCTTCATGCGAGATGAGGGGAAACATTAATTACAGCGAGCTTTCACAATGAATTTTACAGTGCTAGAGTATTTTGATGTATAAAACTACAACAATTAGCGCCTGTGATAAAGTGCACATGGTCTGATAAAACTGTCACTAATGGAAAGTTCACACCATATTCACACCTTGAAGAGAGTGGGATCAAACGTCTGAGCTCGACACTCACGTTTGCTGTGTTTTTAGCTGAAATCTATCAAAATTACTCACCTCTGAACTTCTTAGTTCACAATTTTAGTTGAGCGTATATTAATTACGCTTTTTAATTAGCACAAAAATATAATTGAAAGCAAATCCCTAAGCTCAAAAGTAAAACACTGAATAAAAGATTTGCCAAAAGTTATATAGTGCAAGAACAGGCACAGAGGTATCACCCTTTTACATCAGTGTTGCATCAAAATTAGGAGTGGGAATCGAGAACCGGTTCCAGCTGAGAACTGGTTCCAAATTGTCCGATCCACTGGAGTAGTATTTTGTAGCTGTTATTTTAAGGTAGAAAAGTTCCATAATGTGGCTTTAAAGACAGCATGCAGTGCAGCTTCAGTGTGTGTGGGAGTGAAAACTCCTGATGAAGGTCACACAGATGAAAAAGCTTTCTTTTGTTAAATATCATCTAGTGAGAAGCGACAGTATGTAGGTGTTTGTTCTCTCGGATCATTTTACAAAATAAATGACAGAAACACTTAAAACAGCTCATTGCCTCTGTATTCATCACAAACCACTGAAAGTGCACAGATGATATTATATGAATTGGTTTTAAATGGCATGTGACTGATTTAGAAAGTTTTATATTTTTATGGAACAGCACTATAATAAATGATCAAAACAAGACAAAGAACTCCTCTCACAGCAACACTGTGGAGCTTTGTGCACTAGGTGTGAGTGAGTGTGTGTGTGTGTGTGTGTGTGTGTGTGTGTGTGAGTTTTTATGAGAGGGTGGCTTCCTGACAGCTTACCCAGACACTGGAACTTGTCGGCTGGAGTGGTGAGCAGAAGCTTGCCCTCCATACCGTGCGGTCCGGCACAGCGGGCGATACCGGGCTCCTTATAGCCGCTCTTCACCCAGTCTGACAGCCAGAGCAGACGGCAGTCACAGTACAAAGGGTTGGCTCCGATCGCTCTGATGAAAGGAAAAAAGAAAAAGAGTCAACTTACTGACAGAAAGGAGGGATTCTGGTTTAGAAAGAAAGGAAAAAATGGAGGATGGGTGGGAGGCGAGAGGTTCATCAATTATGGAGATGAAGAAAACACAAGGAAGGGAGTAAAATAATGAAATAAAGGAAGAAAAAAGAATATATGAAGTCAGGAAAGACCAAGTGAGGAAGGATAGAAGGAGGATGGAGTAGTATGTAAGGGGTAGACGGGAGGAAA